CTTGAAAGAAGGCCTTTATGTACTGTAGAATGTTTGCAGGTTTCTCGTTTAGATTCCAGTTTCCAGCAGCGAAGTAGAACTGAAGTTGATAGTGATGATGCATGATGAGCAATGATCCTCCAGCCCCATCTTCATCCCGCAAGGTCTGAAAGATCCTGAAACCATTATATATATATATATTGACCCCATTCAGTCAATTTCAGGTACCCACACAGTCTCCTCATCCATTTGTCGAAAAGACTGTTTACTCATGCGTGGTCAGAGAGACCAGTCTCGATGGGCTCCATTCCGGACACATCGACCGTCGGGCAGGTTCACACCGATCCTTACGTGGCAGCCCTGCGGAAGAGGCGCAAGTCGATGGAGTGATAAATCGCGAGAAAGCAAACCAACATAGGTGACGTGTTGCTTTTTGCTTTAAACGCTTATGAGACTTATGAGGTCTCGGGAGAAACGTCGAATGGGAGACTCCAGAATGTACAAGAATTTGTACGGATGGGTCATTGTCATACATCTCATCATCTCATCTACTTGAGTGCAGACTTGCATGATTACAGCATGTTGTTGGTTCTGTAATTCTGTAGACGCACGATCCCTGGAGCCTTGAGCCCCTGATGTGCTGCCGATTTGCGTCTCCAGGCGTATTCCGCACGAATACATCCGGGGCAACCTGGGCGAGCACGGCTTCGGTCTGGTGGGGGGGACCTTGTAATTGATTTTGCGAATCGTTGACTCTCGACCTGTGACGTATCAACACCTCAAGCACATCCTGTTTGGATCTGTCGGCTCCTGGCGCTCCTACCCAAGAAGTTCCCGAGAAGGCTACATGCAGGTCTGTTCTCCTACAAACAAAAGGCTAACTGCATGCTCTTTGCATCGCCCCTGTTCATGAACCTTTTGTAGACTCAGAACACAAGTTGGTCTATACCACAGGAGCTACGGCCAACCCCTGACAAATTTCTGGGTGAGATAGGCATTTGTGAACTACGATGCCTTGAATGCACTGATTCTCTTGAGCAGCTTCCCTTTGTCCTCCTATAATTCACACCTGGGATTAAGTAACCTCCCCTTATTATATCAAGCCCAGCTCGAGCCCCCAATACGAGGAGTTCCCGGGCAAGCCCGCGGCGGAAGTTTCCTATAAGAACAAATTGACCTATAGGAGTGTGCCAGTTCTTTCCACCATGCGTGTCCCTCGTGTCCCTCAGTCAGACGCATGCGCTCCGGACTTTTGACCAACACAGCGCCACCTGTGCAAGGTCTGTGCAAGATCAGCAGCTCGCAACAGCGTACTGGGTTGTGTCCATGCCAAAGCAAGATCAGCAGCCCACACCGGCGTGCTGAAGCAACTGGGCATGTGCAAGCAATCTTCCAGCTCCCCAGCCTACTCCGCGTACTAAAGTTGTACTACAAAGTCGCCAGTTCTCAGCTTCCAGCTCCACAGATTGCTCCGCGCACTATAGTTGTACCAGAAAGTCGCCAGTTCTCAGCCTCCACCTCGCCAGACTACTCCGCGTACTAAAGTTGTACTACAAAGTCGCCAGTTCTCAGCTTCCAGCTCCCCAGAATGCTGTGCCTGCCACGAAATCTGCACATGGAGGTTCACAAAGTGCTGTGCCTGCCACGAAATCTGCACATGGAGGTTCACAAAGTGCTGCGCCTGCCACGAAATCTGCACATGGAGGTTCACAAAGTGCTGTGCCTGCCACGAAATCTGCACTTCAAGAAACAAGTGAAAACTCCAACCACAATGGAGGGACGATTCCGAGCATGATCCGACCATGACCCGAGACCGTCTCGCACACGTCGTTCCGCAAAGCTTGACTTGCCAGCTTCGGAGCCACCCTTTCTTTTGAAAAACACAGCACTTCGTGCGTCCGCTATCTCTCGAAAATGCATTTTGTATTGCGCCTGCCACGGAATCTGCGCATGGAGGTTCACAAAGTGCTGTGCCAACCACGAAATCTGCACCTCGAGGTTCACAAAGTGCTGCGCCTGCCACGAATTCTGC